CCAAGTTCTAGAGAGAAAATTTGTCTGTCCAGGACTAGAGTGAGCAGAAAAGTGCTCTTGGTGTGTTGCTTCCTTGCTTCCCTTTTATTCCATTTACTCCATGTTTCTGTTTACCAGTTCAAGGCAATACTGTCAAAAGAGTTTGGGTTTCAAAGTCAACTTAGTGTATATGAGGGAATATTTATCTCCCATCTCTTGGTAATCAGGATTGATGGGACTGCAGTTAACATCTTAATATTATTGCTTGCTCTGCAATGTGTAGAGACGTGAAATATGGATATGTTTTACTTTCTATTGTTTTAAAATTCTTGGCTTTTCCAGTATGCCAAGTCAGATGCTGCTGTCTAAACAAAACCCATCATTTACTTGCAATGGAATGTTGTGTGTGTGTGTGTCAAAATGTGATGAGATGCAATCTGCCCTCCACTCTTTATGGTACAAATGTATCTTGATGCAATGGCTACGGGATCACACTTTATTTACACTTGTCCAAAGTGATGCAGATTTTAGGCAAATAATGTTTTTGTCTTCTGTTTATATAGGATCATAGAATTGTGTAGCTTGGAAAAGACCCTTAAGGTCCTCAGGTCCAACCATTACCCAGCTCTGCCAAGACCACTACTGAACCATATCCCTAAATTACCACTTCTGCACATCCTTTAAATGCCTCCAGGGATGGTGACCCCACCAAGTTTTTGGGCAGATGTTCCAGTGCTTGACCAACCTTCGGTGAAGAAATTTTTCCCCATGTGCAATCTAAGCCTCCCCTGGCACAACTTGAAATGCTTTACTCTTGTCCAGTTGGTTGTTACATTGGAGAAGAGGCTGACCCCCACCAGGCCCCTCAATCCAGCCTTTCCAAATCCCTGTGCAGAGCCTTCCTGCCCTCCAGCAGATCAATACTCCTGCCCAGCTTGGTGTCATCTGCAAACTGACTGAGAGTGCCCTCGTCTCCTCATCCAGTTGAAGGTGTTAAACAGGACTGGCCCCAGTACTGAGCCCTGGAGAACACCAGTTGTCACTGGCTGCCAGCTGGATTTCCCTCCACGTGCTGGGCCTAGCAATCCAGACAGTTTTTAACCCAGTGAGCAGCAGAATCTACACTCATCCAAGCCCTGAGCAGCCAGTTTCTCCAGGAGAATGCTGTGAAACAAGGTGTAAAAGGCTTACCTAAAGTCTAGGCAGACAACATCTGCACCCTTTCCTTCATCTACTAAACGGGTCACCTTGTCATAAGAGGAGATCAGGTTAGTCAAGCAGGACCTGCCTTTCCTAAACCCATGCTGGCTGGGTGTGATCCTCTGGTTGTCCAAGGAGTGTGTCCAGTTTACCTTCCCTAAGGAATTAGGAAATACTATTCTGACCATCAGCCAAACTTCTGGAAAGGTCTTGTGAGCCAGTCTCTCCTGGGAGATGCAGTAGAAGCAGGAAAAGGATGCCCTGTAACAAGAATATCATGGTATGCAAGTATTGGCTGTGTATTAAGAGCAAAAGATTGTAGCACATGCAGTTGTACACCCAGCAATTTGGGAGATGAGGAGGGAAAGCAATGTTTTCCTTGACAGCATTTTATAGAAATGATGAGGAGGTTTTATAGCAGGCAACAGCCAAAAGTCAGAAAAACCCCAGAGATTTGTTTGGGTGCTGGGGACTGGCTGTGCTTGGGTGTCTTGCCTATGAAAACATTCAGCTGTATCAAATAATCCCAAATAATCAGCTGTCCATCTCCTAGACCATTAGTTTTCTCATCTTGGTGCTGCTTCTTGAATTTGTGGAAAGGTTTGCAATGTCAGTTACAACCAGATGGTGAGATAAGTGGCTGGATGTATCAAAGTGCTCAGATGGCAGAGCAAAAAAAACATGGAACACTTCTTGGAAAAATAAAATAGGTTGGGGTGCAAGGAAAAAAAAGAGCAAATTTGAGGAGTGATTTCCTCTGTGCTGGATGCTGGGGAGTGTTTGGGAAGAGTGGGAGTTTGCTGGGAAGGAATCAGCAAAGTAACTGGAAACCCTGAGGTCCACATGTTGGGAAGATACCAAACATGTTTAAGAGTCCCGACTGATTCCTCTCAAATAGATTATCAATACAGAATAATTTCTTTTTTTGTCTGTGTTATTCACTGTCATTCATTTAATTTGGAAATATAACAAGACTACCTTTTGGTGCTTTTCTCCTCTGCCTCTTGAGGATGTACCAGATGCAGATCACCTCTAAGCTATTGTGCTTTTTTGGTGAAACAACTCATCTCTTACAACAATTGCATATATAATTCAAAGAGTCAGTTAATATTATCTTCTTAAAATTGTAAGCAGCTGTAACACTGTCCTTAAATTTTCTTTTCCTCTATCTCTCTCTTCATAAAGAGTGTTTCGGTAATTAATCAGTGGCCTGGGTAATTTCTGCTTTAGCTGTCTCAGTGGGGAGGGAGCAAGACCATAAACAATCAAATAATTGTGTCCTAACAAAAGAGATGGGTTTTCCTCCCTATTTTTATTAAACTCAAGCAAAATAGGATGTGTAAAGGTAGGTGTGAAAAGGACTCCCCTTTACATTCTCCTTTATTTTATTGAGCACTGTGGCTTATCATGACTGTAGGCCCTTTTAAGGGAGAAATTATCCAGAGTTACAGGTTGTTTGGAATATTTGCAGAGCTGTGTAGAAACCAAACTGCTTTTTATAAAGGTACTGTATGTATATAATTCTTTCTTGTGATAATACTGAGCAGTTTTTCATTTGTATAGCAGTATGAGCTCACCCATGAAACATAAATTTTAAACCCATCTTTTTAAGATTCAGAAAACAGGAGCTATGTTGGTGTTCGTCAACACTTGGTAATGATTTCCCAGTAAAGGAGGAGGAGGAGGAGAAGAAATCCCCATGGGGAAATCCTTCTGAAATGGGTGTGCTTAGGCATGCGGGAGTTGTCCCATAACGATTTCATGGGAAGCAGGAATCAGTTCTTTGGGGAATTAGTACTTTGATGTGGACAACCTTACTGATGGTGTGGCCTCTTTACATACAGAATGAAAATATATAAGACTTCTAATGTTACTTTCTTCTTCTTGTAGCAATCTAAAAACTCCCACGGAATAAAACCAGACAAAAAAGTGTGAGGAAGAATGTTATGATTTATGTTAGTTTTTCATTGCTGGGCCAGTTTATTTTCTCCAGTTGCTAATACTTTCCAGGTCCTGAGCATCCAAGTGAGCTTTCCGTATACACACCCTCATTCCTTAGTGGAGATGAGGAAAAACCTGCAGTGATTCACAGCATGCTCACTGTCTACCCTGGCAATGTTAGCCATACCCACAGTCCTTGTTGGTTCAAAGGGATAGCAGCAAACCCTGCTTTCTCTGCCAAAATATACAAATAGAGTATTAAAAGCCAAGTTATCAGTGTCTCAGAAGTAAGTGAAACCACTGTATTGTTGTTGTATGTGCCTTGGAAAGAGCTGTTCCTTGGAGATCAACACAGAATGGCAAATAGTTAATCATTGCTTTATCAAACAGTAACCATCTCCTAAATTGCGGTCCTGAAAATAACATTACAAAAATGCCAGAGGAAAGTTCCAGTCTGCTTGTTTGTGACTGTGAGGGTGGTTTTTACTGGTTAATGAATCCAAAGAGTGTTTGTACGCTCTTAACTGGGATTTAAGAGTTCAGGTAATTCCACTTTCAGCTCCAGTAGTTTGGCATAAGAATGTAATTCAGAAATGTGTGACATGGTAATGAAGGAATTCATGCAACATCCTCATACTTTAAGAGGATAAAATGTTTTCCTCTTTAGTCTATATCTAAATAAACATATTTGCAGTAAAGCACAGTACCCTGCAATGCCTTGCAAAATACTCTCCCCATTTCTCAGCAGCATGGATAAAAGAGACTTTTAGCTGTTAATCTTAAGAAAAAACATTGTGTAAAACTGACATTGTGGTATTCAGGTGATGTAGTTCTTGTGTAGATGGAGTGAGATTTGTTGTGCAGTGCTTCACCTTCCAGTCCTGTACTTTCCCCAGCTAATTCACACAGTACAATTGATTTCCCAGCTGGCAACTAGTTTTGTCATTGTTACTTCTGTGCTTGTAATTGCACTTTGAGGTTGGCAGGTTGGCTCAGGCTGTGAGATTCCCAGATGATGGATGTTTTCCCAACAGGGAGAGTGCAGGGACAGAGTGTCTCTCTGGTAGAGTAGGAGGAGGCAGTTGGTGTGCTGTGCTTGTGTTCAGTGGTGTTTGTGTGCAGCCACAGCCTTTCCTGGTGTGGTAATCAAATGATGGTCTGAGATACCCTGATAACTTTGACTTAGCTAATAAAATCTCCCACACAGCATTTAATAAACTATAGCCCAACCTTGGCTTTTTCACCTTTTGACATTGATTCACTTTAACTGCTCTTTCTAGGTATGCTTTGGAGACCATCCCTATGGATGAATCTACTGAGTAGACTTTGCCCCAAAGCTGGAAATGAGCCTGTGAAAAAGTACAGGCTACCCAAAAGGGTTTGGCAGAGATGTCCTGGTAGATTTGGGCTTCATCTGCTGGCCACCATCTGCCATCATCTATCTTTGCTTCTGTTGAAACACCTTGGTGTAATTGAGTCCACAAAGAGTTTGATGGAGTCTGTCTGGGACGGCTGTGTTGATGGATGCAAAGGACTTAAGGCAGCTTAATTGTTTGGGATACGGTGATGGACAGCAGATCAGCAGCTTTGGGGATAAACCAAATAGCAGGACAGCAGCAAATACAACTCAGCAGTGCAGTTATTTTTAGGTGGTGCCAGATGCCCATGTGTGTCTATAAATAGCCCTATCCATAATGTGGCCATTGTCCTGTGTGTGCTCGTGGAGCCACATGGGACTGCTGCAGGAAGCAACACATGCCTCCCACATGGCTAGCAAGGGAGAGGCTAAGGTGTTGCAGTGCCATTTTGGGTGTTGGGGCTGCTCTCAGCCATGCTGACCCTTGCACGTGGTGACTCTTTCTTCTTCTTCCCCCTTCTAGGAGCTGAGTGTTGTGACCTGCCCTACTTCTCTCTGCTCTGTGTGGGAACAACCTGAGGAAGATCTTGGAGCCACCTGTACTGCTTCATGCAGTTAAAGTAAGGTTAAATGTTTTGGCAGCTCTTTTAGGTATTGACCAGGATTGAGATGAGGGGTTTGGGAGAATGGGTTTGCCCATTATCAAGCCATTTGTCAAACTTAGCCTTGACAGGAGGAGGAGATGCTAATATCAAAGCAATTACAGTGATATAAACAAATTCAATAAGTTATTTTGCCATAAAATACAATCTCTTTGTGGTGGGTTTAGAAAAGGGATATGTGGTGTTGCCTCCTGTATCAACCAGATGCCACAGTGTAAAATAGCACTTAAAACATCAGCTGTTTTTCCCTAATATTTTAAGATAGAGTTTTCATGTCCCTGGGGCAGGAGGCATATGGTTACAGCCCCAGGATTTCCACAGGAGCGGGCTGGGATCAGAGCTGAGGTGCCTCCCGGTCAGCGCAGCGGCTGTTGGTCTGTCTGCCCAGGAGCAGTCGTGGTGTTGAGGCTTCTGGGTTTGTTGTTCAGCTAACACCAGCTTCTTGGTGTGGTGAACCAGATCACGGGATGGATCTGACCTAGAAGCGACTATATGGTTATTGGAATGCTGACAGGAGCTGTTTTGACTCATGGAGTTACACCCTTTCTCTCCAAAAAGACTTGAATGTGCAAAAACTGTTAGCCTGAAGCAAAGAAACTGCCAGAGTCTTGCCTGGAAATGGGTGCTTGCCATGTGTGAGCTCTGTCAAGGGAGGGAGGGAGGAAAACCACTGCAAGCTGTCTCTTTTCTCCTCCCACTGTCCCTAACCTGTTTACCTTCTGCAGTGCCTCCATGGTCTCCATTTTCCATGGTCTTGCCTACAAGACCAGTGCTTTAACGAGACTGAATCCAAATCGTTTGGTGTTACTGAGCTGTGGCAACAGCTGGGTGGATTAATCATAAATTGTTGGTACTTGTAGAGAGACAAGTATGTATTGTAATAATTTGGGTTTTCCTTTTTTCAGTGGGGTTGAGCAGTGGAATTACACCTATTTTCAGACCTTAAGAAAGACATTAAGTCCTTGGCATGATTATGAATGGAACCTGCTCTATCAGGAATGAATAAGTGGCTTGCTGAGAGCTGTCTTCCAAGTTCATCATGTTTAAAGGAGGAATGCACAACACCAGCTGCAGAGAAGCAATTTGTGGCTTGATTTGTCATAGTATTTCTTAACTTTCTGCTAATTTGGGGAGTGTGTTGAGTTGCAGCAGGCTGTGCTCACTGCTGAGGAAGATTCCAGACCCTTTCTGGGGGTGACCAAGGGGGATGACTTTTTGCACTCAGTTGCAGCAGTGATATCTCTGGGGAGGCCCAGCACAGGCAGCAAAAGCTTCTCACCTGAAGTCCTGCCTGGGAACCAGCCTCTGCCTCACATCTGATTTTTGGGTGTGCCTCCTCTGAAGGATCTGGGAAAAAAAGAAAGGCTAATTTGAAGTTCAGGAGCAGCATTCTCATACCCTTTCCTTTTTCTACCTGCTGGTCTAGTATTTCCATAATTGTGTTTATAATGACAATCTTTTCATTTCATTCATAAAGTGGTTACTGCTTAATGAACTTCATGTTAATGAGCTCTGTAACATTTAAAATAGCTGCATAACTTGAAAAAAAGAGAAAAGCCATCAGCAATGAAGGGACGGATTTCCACTCCCCGAGCTTAATCCTGTGTTATAACATAATTGTGGAGAGTTGCCTGGCTGGGAACAGCTGCACAGCGTGGGCTCTCGATTCTGCAGAGCTCCTTGTCCCTGAGCTGGGGTAATAAATGATTTACTGGGGAGGCTGGGACCTCTGGGCACTTAACCCATTCATTTCCTGAGGGACCAGCCTGAAAGGTCACTTGTAAAGGCAGTGGAAAGAAACAGTTTTAAGTGTCTGCAGAATGTGGGGTTTTGCATATGAGCATGCTGCAGAAAGGCTCAGGTCAGAAAGTGGGGTAGTGGAGCTGGGTACAAACTGTGCTTACTTGGATTTTCATTATTTGATGCCTTAATTTATTTTAAAATGGGGCTTGAATGAGTGTTCTCTCTTTTCTGGGCTAGGGATGTAATATTTTCTGTTGCTTGGGGTTTTACTTCCTGTGGGATATTCCCAGTGCAATATAGTGCCCTGGGAGCAGAGCTCTTATTTTTCTTGCAGGGAATGCCACACCAAGTGACTCCATCATTTCAGTTGCTGAGTGAATGATGAGCATTTTTTGAGCCTATTGTGCCTCAGAAAGGATGTTTCAGCAAAATGGCCATGTTCTCTGATTGCCTAAAGTGTATGTTTGGAGAAGAACATTTTCCCATAGTTTTGTGAGTTGAAAGAAGAGGAGCAATTATGAAGAAACAATTTGTAATTCTGCAGTGTCAGATGTGGTCGTGCTGTGCCACAGGGAGCGAGGTTAGCACAGGTACTCCTGTAGGAAACCTGAAGTTTCTGATGAAATTTTCTTCTTCTGGAGTAAAGTGTTAGCCAGGCTTTTCCTGAGTAAGTCTGTGGTGCCTGGGGCCACAGTGGCAGCATTTGCAAAATGGAGCCTAAAGGGAAAATTGAGTCTGATGTATTCTTCAGAGAAGAAAAGCTCATTAAAATGTTGGGCACTGAAGCTTCTTAGACCAAAATGCAAGCGGAAACATGTCCTGCATCTTGGTCTTGATGCCATTTTTTTCCACATCTACCTGTGGTTAGAACTCTCTGCTGTGGAGAGGTAAGGTTGGTGCATGCCTTTATTAAAATATGCATTGGGTAACTACCTGTTTTGTAAATGCTAGGAAATATTTAATATTTGTCAGCTTTAAAGTGTGTGATGTTTTGGGCATCACGGGCTGTTTTCTACTGCAAGCTGTGTTTTTGGGAATGCAGTACAAGTGCTGTGGTTTTGGGAAGCACAGAAAGAAGCCGGGCCTTACTGCTCAGCTCTAGGGCTTGGGGATGTTGTTTCTTTTACTGAAACCATCATTGCTCAGCATAGTTCCTAAAACAGCAGAGCCTGGAGAGTCAGAGAATAGTGAGGTGGAGAAGGTTTTAGGACATGTGCTGTAGTAAGAAGTGTGAGAATCAATAGAGGCTTTGCTCACTTCCACTGCGTATGTAAGGCTGTAGGCATCTCCTCTCTGTTGACAGCTCTCCACTGTGTTTATCCTTCTATGCACTGGGTGAAGTACTCCCCAAAGCCTGTTCTTGCCTCCTTCCATTCTTCACTTTGTCTCATACAATGCATCTCTATTTTCAAAGATAGCCAGTAACTTGCATGATGCTTCAGCTGCCCAGTTTGATACTGGGGATTTTCATTAAGTTCCTGGTTAAACCCCAGTCAAGAATCACCCCTGCAAACATGAGCTGGTTCTCACTGAGAGCTTCCCCACAGTTTACTGCCAAAATGTGTATTCAAACAAGAAGATGCTTAGGAAGGTATAAATGGATTTTGTTCATTTGAGGAGACAGCTAGAATGTCTGCTAAGGATTTCTGGAAGTTAATATTTGAGCCTGAGATAAAAGTCTCATGCATACGTGAAACAGCTGCCCCAGAACCTGTTGGAGGACTTAATTTGAGTATAAACATATGTGTGCTCTTGCGTACATGCTGCTCTTTAATTCAAGTCGACTGCTAGGTCTTAACTTTATTAGGATGTAGCTACTTGAACTGAAGATGTGGTCTGTGATTTTTATTTTATTATAGAAGCATGATGCCTCCTTTTGAAATGTTGTTTGGATTTTACAAATCGGTATCTTAAGTACTGTTTGCCTTTACTAATATATTAGAGGAAGAAATTTACAAGTGAGGGCAGGGTTATATCGGATTACAAGTGAATTGCTTGACAGTATGTGTGTACTGTAAAATGGGAAATTAATCACCCTGTGTTGATGACCCATGGACATTTACAAAAGGCTGGTCTTTCTGTAGCGCAAATAGATTCCGGAAACAGGAAAGAGGCTTATGGCAAGAGGATGAGATCAGTTTGTATAATTAGAGCTGGCTAATAATCCTTTTTTACTCTCTGTTTTTCCAACTTTTGCAGTATATTTCTTTATTTGAAATTGGGCATATGAACTGGAAAGAGATAGCTGCTGTGATTTGAGTTGTTTAGGTTTGTTTTTTGTACCTACTAATAGGTGAAGGGATGGAGCAGGGAAACACATTAGAGAGGAAACTCTGCCTCCCCCTACATGGGGAAAGCGCTGCTTTTGTTATCTCAACACAGTTTCATATCTTCCCAGGCTTTGGGCAGGAATTAAGTAATCCAGGTGATTATCTTTTTGACAATTATGAGGTTGAAATGGTCCAAAAGAAGAATGCTGAGACTAAGGGTGTTTGGTTCTGGAGTAAGACGGGGCTAGCAAAGCTGAGTTAGGGACTTACCATAGCACGGATAAAGCTTAATCTTATTTTTTTTTGGTGTGTGTGTGTGTTTGTATCTGCTTGCCTGTATCTTACCTTTGTGTTACACTTCATTATTTTAGGGAGGGTAATGGGAAAGGTTTGGGTGAGGCAAGTGGTGGGTGCAGCCCCTGGGCAGCCCAGCTCCCAGCCCAGGAACAGTGTGGTGCCAGTTCCTGCTGCCAGGAAGCTGAGCTACATTAAGCAAAGCGAGTTAATCTATATCCAGGGCATTTTATTAAATCATCAGTCAATTAAATTGGTGACGCTCTGTTAGCTTGTGTTGCAGTGAGGCTCCAGCCCCTCTGCAAGTGGCTCAGCTCTGCAACTCCCCCACTGCTGCTTGATGGGCTCTTGTACATGCATGCCACAGTACTGTGGTTGCCAACACTGTCAAGGAAAAAATCCAACAGATTTTTAGGCAGATTTTGCTCTTAAATATGTTCTTTGAATTACTTTTTTTTTTTTCTGGAGGGAGAAGATTGTTGTGAAGTTTCTTTTTCTTTTTGTGACAGGAATCTGTGTGTGTCTGGTTTTCCTGAGGGTGGCTTGCTGGGTTACCTCTGTGCTGTTGGAGGAGAGTGATGATAGATCCAGAACAGCACAAAACATCTTTAAACCTCCTTTTCATCCCTCCCTCGTACCCAAGAAACTCCT